CTCCACACCTTTAGTGAGTTGGATGCTACCCCACCATGTGAATAGTGGGTTGGTGCCACCCTTTCTATGTGGCTAGAGCTAACAATTCTCCCTCTTCACACCCACATGGATAATTGACTTCTCACTTGAAGTCCATCCCAGTCAGATTCATGCAAACTTCCAGTTTGTCTCTGGTGACACCCTTAGTCATCATGTCAGAAGGATTCTTGTTCGTGTGAATCTTGTTGGAAAAAAAAAAAGATTTTTGGTGACAATAATTAAATATTAAAGTGGGTCCCAACCATCTATTGTGTTGGGTCCAAGTGGGTCCAGATACGTTGCAATGAGATCTTTACACCACAAATAGAATGGCCAAAAACCATTGATATTTGAATGAGAAATTGCCTCATGAAGTTAGCCTCATGAAAGAGTTAATGGAGTTTGTAACTTCTGCCTTTATTACAGAGTTTAATAGAGCATTAATGGGATTTGTAACTCCTGCATTAATGGGTTTGTAACTCCTGCCTTTATTGTAGAGGTTAATGGTGCATTAGTGACCAGCCATAAAGGCTGGAGGCTCTTCCTTTCTCCCCTATACATGTATAAATTGAGACTCTTCTGTCAAGTCTCAAACACAAAAAAAATGTTTTCTTCCATTCTTTAGTCAGTTTGCTAGAAATTTCTACAGTGAGAGAGTGCTGCCACAGTTTTGTTCGCTAAGTTAGACAGAAAGTGCTTCTGCTGTAGCTGGGTTTTGACTGTCGTATCCTGGGAGACAAACGCCAAAATTCCTCAAGCACTCAATCCGTGAGGCAACGAAAATCTGTTTTAAGGAAACTGCTTTCGTGCAGGCTTCGGTTTGATTTCTCTATCATTTCGTTGTATCATGTATTTCTGTTTAATTAAGGTCATAATGTCCAACATGTGTTGTTTTAATTTATGTTATCATGAATCTATGTATTTAAATTCACAAAGTAGACAACAAATCTTTACTAATTTCATTAGCTGCTTTTCCATCACTTCTCGTATCCAATGATACCGAACATCAATGTGCTTTGTACGTGAATGGTACATGGAATTCTTGCTTAGATCAATTGCACTCTAACTATCACAATGTACCTTGTATTCTTCTTGCTATAGACCCAATTCTTGGAGAAACTGCTTTAACTACAACATTTCCTTTCTAGCATCTGCGGCAGCAATGTACTCTGCCTATGTTGTAGATAAAGCAACACACTTTTGTAGTTTGGCCTGCCATGAAACAGCTTTGCCTGCAAAAGTGAACAAAAATCCTGATGTAGACTTTCTACCATCAAGATCACCTGCCATATCGGCATCTGTAAAACCCTCTAGAATTGGTTCAGCTCCTCCGAAACATAAACACATCTTTGAAGTTCCCTTCAAGTACCAAAGAATCCATTTGACCACCTCCCAATGCTCCTTTTCTGGATTGGCGAGGAATCTGCTCACAACGCCAACTGCGTAAGCTATATCTGGCCGGGTACATACCATTGTATATATCAAACTTCCTACAGCGGAAGAATAAGGGATTGCCTCCATTTCTTTCCTTTCAAAGCTGGTCGTAGGACATGAACGCTTTGTCACATTGAAATGGTTGGCCAGTGGTGTGCTGACTGGCTTGGCATCTTTCATGTTGAACCTTTCAACCACCCGTTCAACATATTTCTCCTGTGATAGCCATATCTTTTTGTCTTTCCTGTCACGAACAATCTTTATGCCCAAAATCTGTTGTGCTAAGCCTAAATTCTTCATGTCAAAATATTGCGAGAAGTTCTTTTTCAACTTGTTGATCATAGCAGTATCTTGTCCGATGATCAGCATATCGTCGACATACAATAGTAGGATGATGAAGTTTCCATCCGAAAACCTTTAGAAATATACACATTGGTCTACTACCATTCTTGTGTACTTGTGATCCACCATGAATGAATCAAACTTCTTGTACCATTGTCTCGGCACTTGCTTCAGGCCGTAGAGACTTTTCTTCAGTTTGCAAACTAGATTCTGTTTTCCTTTAACTTCAAATCCTCCTAGTTGCTCCATATAGATCTCTTCCTCCAAATCACCATGGAGAAAGGCAGTCTTGACATCCAACTGTTCTACCTCCAGATTCAAGTAAGCTACTAATCCCAGAGCTACTCGAATAGAAGTCATCTTCACAACTGGGAAGAAGATCTCATTAAAGTCAATTCCTTTCTTCTACCCAAAGCTTTTGACCACCAAACGAGCTTTATGCTGCAATAGTTTACCGTTGCCATCTTTCTTCAACTTATACACCCATTTGTTCTTCAAGGCTCTCATGCCTCGTGGAAGTGGAACAAGCTCATAAGTGTGGTTCTTCTACAAAGAACTCATCTCCTCCTTCATGGCTTGTATCCAACAGTCTTTCTCTGTATAACTCTTTGCTTCTGAGAAACTCTTGGCCTCCCCCTAGTCAGTAATCAGAATATACTAAGAAGCGGGATATTTGGTTGATGGCACGGCAGCTCTTCCAGATTTCCGCAACTGAGGCCCAATTGCCTCTGGTTGAGGGGGTTGATCCCTCTACTCAACACCTTCTTCATCCCGGTCTACATCTCTTTTCTCTTGATCCTCAATTTCTAGCATAGGATCTTGCAACTCTGGCACTTCTTGTTGCATATCATCACATCTAGCATTTTGTGATGGCTTGGGAGATGGGAACAAGTCTGGAGTGATAACATCTCTAGACTTTGTAGACTTCTCAAAATTTGCTACTGTTTGGTCTTCCTAGAACACAATATCTCTGCTCTTGAACATCTTCTTGTTCATTGGGTCCCACAACTTGTACCCAAATGCCGCATCTGAATAGCCTACAAATATGCATGGAGTGGACTTGTCATCAAGCTTCTGTTTGTTTTCCTTAGAGATGTGTGCAAACGCCTTACACCAGAAGACTCTCAAGTGAGAATATGATACCTTTCTTCTGGACCAGACTTCCTTAGGTATCGTAAAATTCAACGAGACTGAAGGCGACCTATTGATGAGATAACAGGCTATACAGGCGGCTTAAGCCCAGAATGACTTTGGTAACTTTGCCATTCCGAGCATGCATCTGACTCTTTTAATAATAGTTCGGTTTATCCTCTCTGCCACCATTGTGTTGTGGGGTACTGGGAACTGTTGTCTTGTACTAGATACCTCTGCTGGCACAGTATGCTGCAAAAGCAGTGGAAGTGTACTCACCTCCATTGTCAGTGCAAAGACACTTTAACTTCTTCCCGGTCTCTCTTTCCACTATTGCATGGAACTCCTGAAAGTGTTGAAATACCTCATCCTTTGTCTTCAGGAAATGCTCCCACAACTTCCTTGATGCATCATCAATGAATGTCAGAAAATACTTGCGGCTTCTATGTAACTCTACTTTGATTGGGCCACAAACATCCGAGTATACCATACTGAGCACTTCTGTTTTTCTCTTACTTGTTTAACTGAATGATACTCGATGTTGCTTGCCATAAAGGCAATGATCACACGACTTCAAGGCACTCTCTTTGGATAAGGGTATCCTGGATTGCTTTGCCAACAGATACAATCCTTTCTTACTCATGTGAGCCAGTCTTCTGTGTCATAAGTCCGGTGACTCCTTGTCTTCTGCTGCATTAAGACTTTACAGATAGATCTTCGTTTGAGTCTTATACAGTGTAAAAGACATCTCTTCTCTGGCGATTGTCAAAGCTCCTTTTGTCAGCTTCTAACGGCCATTTCCGAATGTACTTGTATAGCCCTGTCGGTCCAGGGCGCTTCTGAAGATAAGATTAAGGCGTAAATCTAGAACATGCCTTACATCTTTGAGAACCAGCTTGTGCCCGACATTAGTCTGAATGCTAATGTCTTCAATACTCACAATCTTCGAATAGCTAGAATTCTCCATTTGAACAGTGCCAAAATCTCCAACATTGTACAAGCTGAAGTGTTCTCTGTGAGAAATGGCGTGATAGGATGCAGCTGTGTCTATCACCCATTCTGTGTAGCTGTGGTCAGCCACGTGAAGGCAGTCCTCCTCTTCACCAACTGCAAAAAGTATTTCATCAGTTGTTGTGGCTGTGTTCTTATCTCCCTTTAACTTATTGCTTTGGCCTTTATCTTTCCGGCTTGGGCAGTTTCTCTTTATGTGACCCTCCTGGCCACAGTAAAAGCAAGTGAAGCTAAAGTTATGTCGACCTTTGTTGTCTCTGAATTTACTCTTGTTGTTCCAGTTGCCTCTACTCTTGCTTCTTCCTCTGCCTTTTCCTTTACCTCTGTCTCTACCTCTATCTTCTGTGACAAGAGCATGGGACTGATTACCTCCCATGTCTTTCCTCCTTGTCTCTTCATTGTACATGGCATCTGTGACCATGCTCATGGTCAGTTTCCCTTCTAGTGTAGAGTTACTGAGAGAAACCACCAACGTCTCCTAACTGTCCGGTAACTAATTGAGTAGTAGTACGACTTGCATTTCATTGTCCAAGCGCATCTTGACGGTTGTAAGCTGATTCAGCAAATTTTTGAATTCACTGGTGTACTCGGCGACAGACACACCACTTTTCAACTTTAGATTTACAAGCCTTCTCATCACCAAGGCTATGTTTCGAGCGGTCTTTGACTGGTGCATGTCGTCTAACATTGTCCATAAAGCATACGTATCTGTCTCTTGGGTGACATGATGGCACACACCGTGGTCTATCCATTGTCTGATACAATTGATAGTCTTGTGGTTTATCTTTATCCAGTCATCATCATTCACTTCTTCCAGTTTAACCCTTTTTAGAAAAATAAGGTGAAACAGGTCCTTACAATATAAGATGTCTTCCATTCGCGACTTCTAAATTGCATAATTGGAAGGAGCCAACTTGATCATAGATCCTGAAGTTGATGTGGATTCCTCTATCATCTTCTTACTTTTTACATAAACTTTGATTAAAAAATCTGACCATACGGATGTGTCCGGAATACTCCAAATAGTTGGAAAGCATTATTGGATCGTCAAAAACGAACTCAAAATGGCTCAGATCAAGCCAAAACAGTTTGCACGGTTCAGATCTGCAGGTATACCTTAGTCGCACAACACTGGACAACTCCTCCGACAGGTTGACCGGCCAACTGAGGCACGCTAACGTGGCAGACACGTGGCAACGCGTGGTGCTGATGTGTCGCTGACGTGGTAGACACGTTACAAACACGTGGTGCTGGCGTGGCAACACATGGTGTTGATGTGTCGCTGACGTGGTAGACACGTTACAAACACGTGGTGCTGGCGTGGCAACACGTGGCGTTGTACTCGTCTTCTTCCTTCAACTGTGCGTCAGGCGTGGGTTGAGACTGGGCTAACGCGCTGGCTTCTCTTCACGGCGCATAAGGCGTGTGCTTGAGAGTGAGCCTCACGCGTTTTCTTCAAGAGGCATGTATGAGCTCTTTTGGGGCTCGGCTTTGCAATTTTGGACTCTTCTCGTCGAGAGCTTCCTCTTGGTATGCTCAAAACTGAATTTTAAGCAACTTGATTTCTGGCAATTTCGAAAAATCGCACTCTGTTTTTTTGAAACGCTACCAACTCGGCTCTGACACCACTTGTTAGGACTATCAGACACCATAAATCAATCACACACAATAACACGAGATTTTACGTGGTTCGGCAATTGCCTACGTCCACGGGAGAGATATCCACTATAGAATTATCCCGGAGGGAGATTACAGTACTCACACCTCACAAACTCTCTCTATAGCACTCTCACTCATAGATTACACTCTGTGTCTGTTGCTCTTCAGTTCTATTTTACCCTCCTCTCAGCCTCTCCATTTATACACTAAGATGGAGCAAGCTGGAGAGTTTGGCTAACACATGGTAGCTCCTTCTCCACACCTTTAGTGAGTTGGATGCTACCCCACCATGTGGATAGTGGATTGGCGCCACCCCTATCATGTGGCTGCCACCTTACCATATGGCTGGAGCTAACACAATGGCGGACCAGATTGTGTTTCTGTTAGTATTTGTCAGAAGCTTCTCATCTCTCTTCTTCACCATCAGAGTGTTGTATATTTAGAATACATGAAGAACTTCGGGGAGTAAACGAGAAGGCTTATGACCCAGACATTGTTGCAATAGGTCCTTATCACCGTGGTAAAGATCGCCTACAGATGATGGAGGAGCACAAGTTACGCTATTTGCAATTACTTCTTGAACGAAAAAATGAGGCTGATCTAGAAAGATACGTCTTTGCTATTAGATCACTAGAACAAGAAGCACGTAGATGTTATGCAGAACCAATAAGCCTTAATCCTGATGAAATGATTGAAATTTAGATCGCTAGAACAAGAAGCACGTAGATGTTATGCAGAACCAATAAGCCTTAGTCCTGATGAAATGATTGAAATGTTGATATTGGATGGTTGCTTTATCATTGAATTGGTGTGGAACTTTGAGATTGCATGCCTTAGAGATAGAAATGATCCTATTTTTAAAATGGACCGGATTGATAATAGCTTGCAACGCGATTTAATGTTATTTGAAAACCAACTGCCCTTCTCTATACTCTGCGAGTTATTTGACTTGATCGAGATTCCAAACAACCATAACAGGCTCATTCGTCTTGCCTTGTGTTTTTTCAGTGATCTTTTACTAGATCGAGGTCATTCAGACCATGTTCTTGGTAATTCACACAATAACCATTTGCTCGGGTTGATACACAATAACTAGTTCCATTCAGAGTCTAACGGCCTTGCCTCAAATTAAAAAGGGCATTGCATTTCATTCCTAATACCACAGAGCTTCAAGAAGCTGGAGTCAAACTAGTGAATGTGGGAGGTAAGTTGTTTAGCATCAAGTTCAAAAGTGAGGTAATTTAGATTCCAACTTTAATCATTGAGGATAGGACTGAGTCATTCTTCAGAAACCTCATTGCGTACGAGCAATATTGTCCTGATAATCGACTCAACTATGTCACTGATTATGTGAAATTTTTGGATTGCCTCATTGAGACTCCACAAGATGTCGAAATACTTCATCGTCGTGGAATCATCAATAACTGGAAAGGTGATGATGAAGTGGTTGCCAGGATATTTAAAAAGATTAGCGATGGTGTCACGGGGCCAGGGGAACATTTCCAATACCCTGATGTGTTCAACAAGGTGAATAGACATTGCAGCACACGCAGGAATCAATGGATGGCAAACTTAAATCAGAACTATTTGAATAGCCCTTGGGCATTTATTTCAATTCTGGCGGCCTTGCTATTACTTCTACTCACTTTGACACAAACTATATTTACTGTTTTTCCTATCAAACATTAATTATGGTAGCAAAACATATAAACAGTCGCTTCTTCTTATTGGAGAGTTTTCAACCCTTTCTCATCCTCATTACTGTTAGAAAGGACCAAATCAACAACATATAAACAGTCTCTCCTTCTTACAATGTGCAATCTTAGGAAGGTTACGATTTTTATGGTGAAAGATATGAATGTTTTTAGTGTGTTTTGTGTCACTTTGTGATAAAAGTTACAAATTAAAAGTTAACACGTTACAAATAACAAAGTTATGCTACCAATTTACCTCATAATTAACCGGCACCACAATGGCCATGTTTGATAAATGATATTGATTAAGTAAAATTGTAATTCATGTTGAGGTTAACTGATGGAATTATTATTATGATGATATCAGATTTGAGATGTAATACTAAATATGAATTTTCTCGAGTCCACTATAGTTCCACTTCGATAACCTGAATTGTTCATTTTGTAAGACTTTCTATGTATATCTCTAAAAAAATTGATAATCTATTTTCAAAAACTTAGAAAGTGAGAATGGATATCAAGTATAATGTACAAAGTGCAATTTTCCCAATTAATTGAGGAATTTGGTTCCCTGTAACAATTCGACGAGCAGCACATTATAAACCATAAACCATTTTTTTACCTATAAGAAGTAAAACATCATGTGCACTGCAAATGCATAAATGAATGGTTAACCATTCTTTTTAGGGAGTAATAGAAGAGTGCAAAAATAAAGAGGGAAGAAAGCAGAACCATCCACTGAATAAAAATATGTAATATATACATAAATATACTTAAAAAGAAAGGGAAAAAAATTAATGGGAATGAAGACCAAACTGATAGTCTCTAACAAATAATACATACGATACAACCATGAAGCTACTACTAAACGGGATCTGAGAAAAGTAAGATAAGATGTATAAAAAATAATAATTAATGTTTGCAAGGAAAAACAATACATGTAGTTTGTGCAGTAAGAATTGAAATTAATGACCACAGGCTATTTAAACAGTTCCGGTTCAACTTAGCCATCCATCGATTCCCTCGTTTGATGCAATGGATATTCAACTTGTTGAAGATATCACCGTACCGGAAATGGTTGCTAGGCATGGTGACAGCGTCACTAATCTTGTTAAATATCCTGGAAACCACGTCATCATCACCTAGCCAATTATTAATGATTCCACTTTGAGAAGGTATTTCAACATCTTTAGGAGAGTCAATGAGGCAATCCACAAACCTCACATAATCAGGGACATAATTGAGATGATTATCAATACAATATTGCTCGTATGCAATGAGGTTTCTAAAGAATGACTCCGTAATGTCTTCAATGGTTAGAGGTGGAATCTGCAGCACACCGGTTTGGAACTTGATAGCAAACAAGTTACCTTCCTCAACAACCTTCTCTACCTTGACTCCAGCTTCTCGAAGCTCTGTGGTATTAAGAATGAAAGGCCAGTTCCCTCTTCTATTTAAGGCATCTTCTTCAATACGCAACATCAGTTTGAAGTTTGAATTCCCATTGACACATTCTCTATAACCTGAACTTGGAAAAATATAATGAAAAAAACGCAAGGCAAGACATATGAGCCTGTTATGTTGGTTTGGAACCTCAAGCATGGCAAGAGAAGAGAGTTGTAAAATATTGGCTTACCCTAATTTGGGTGAGACCATGTCTATATATAATCAATATAAGATACATGAAAAAAGGAATTAAATAATTACACAATCATACCCTAAAATTAAATATACAATATTCCATATTCCAACACTCCCTCTCAAGCTAGATCAAAGATGTCAACCAACCCCAACTTGCCAATGGAAGATCGAAGTAGGGATGGTCCTACAGATTTGATGAAGATGTTGGCAATCTGATCAAAAGATGGAACAAATGAAGGTTATACAATGCCAGCTCGAACCTTTTTCCGGATAAAATGAATATCAACCTCAATATGCTTAGTACGCTCATGAAGCACAGAGTCAGAGGCAAGTAAGATGACAGATTTATTGTCACAAATAGCTTGGGGAGATTATTCTCCTCAAAGCCTAACTCAGTAAGAATGGGCTGAAGCCATAGTAACTCACATGTCCTATGAGCCATAGTGCGGTATTCAGCTTCAGTAGATAATCGAGAAACAACCGCTTGTTTTTTGTTTTTCCATGACAGAAGATGGGTACCAAAGAAGGTGCATACCCCAGAAGTGGAATGTCTGTTAGTCAATGAGCCTGCATAGACTATATCAGTAAAACATGACAATCTTGTCTGAATCCCACCATTGAAGAATAAACCCAAACCTGGACATGACTTGAGATATCTCAAGATGTGGTGAACAACATCAAGATGAGCAGTACGAGGTGAATACATAAACTGACTAACTACACTTACAGCAAATGTCAAATCTGGTGGTGTATTAGTCAAATAGATCAAACGTCCTACCAATCTCTGGTAACGAGTTGGATCAGAAGGCAACTCACCAGACTCAGCCGAAAGTTTCAAATTCGGATCCATAGGAGTAGATGCAGGCTTGCACCCCATCATACTGGTGTCCCAAAAAAGATCCAAAGTATACTTCCGTTGCGATAATGATATCCCACTGCGAGAACTAACTACTTCAATCCCCAAGAAATATTTGAGAGGACCTAAGTCCTTGATATCAAAAACTCGACTAAGCTCCTATTTTACCTTAGCAATACCAATGGTGTTATCTCCTGTAAGGATGATATCATCCATATAGACCAACAAAATAATACATTGACCAGTGGGCTGGCGATGAATGAAGCATATATGGTCGGAATGACACTGCGTAAAATCCATGGATAGGATAACAAAGTTAAAATGATGGAACTATGCACGAGAAGATTGCTTCAAGCCATAAAGAAACTTACACAGACGACAGACCTTGCCAGCATACTCCCTCTCAGCCCAAAACCCGGGTAGAGGATCCATGTAAATCGTCTCAAGTAAGTCCCCATGGAGAAAAGCATTCTTGACATCAAGTTGATGAAGGTGCCAAGAAGAAGAGGCAGCCAAGGAAATAAGTAAACGAATAGTGGTCAATTTAGCAACTGGTACAAATGTAGCCCCAAAGTCCTTGCCAAGAACCTATGTAAAGCCCTTAGCGACAAGACGAGCCTTATAGTGGTCCATTATGCCATCAGCCAAGTATTTGACAGTAAAAACCCACTTGCACCCAACAGTCGTCTCACCAGAAGGCAAAGAGACAAGATCTCAAGTGTGATTATGCTTTAAAGCAGCCATTTCAGTTTGCAGAGCGGCAACCCATTGGGGATTTTGGAGAGCCTCAGACACAGACCGTGGGATAGAGACCGACTCAAGTTGGCCAAGAAAACACTGATGAGAAGCTGAAAAGGCATCATAACATAAAAATGAGAAAATAGGGTGATTAGTACTACTAAACCAACCAAATTGATTAGGGGGACGGTGTTCATAGGTTGGATACCAAGAAGGAGCTGGGGAAGGAATAGTAGAGGGAGTACCTTGGCCTGAAGGTAAAGAAGATGTTAAAGGGGGCGGAGCACGAGGGCGACGAGAGTATGTTTGTAATGGTGGAGGACTAGTAGGTGCAGAGACATGCGATGAGGAAGGAGCAAAGGAATCAATGATAGGAACAGGGTGAGCACTCGGTGACACAGTAGGAAGTGGTGCACGCGAGGCGGTATCCTGAAATATAGGGTTAGAACAAAAAAATGGCATATCTTCGCAAAATATGACATCCATAGAATGGTAAAAACGACGAGACAACGGATTATAGCACCTATAGCCTTTAAAGAGAACGGAATAGCCCCAAGAAGATGTATTTAAGAGATAACTTAGTCTGAGTGGGACTACGATTCTGAACAAAACAAGTACAACCAAACACACGAGGCACAAGAGGAAATAACACGGTATCCAGTTAAAGTAATTGAAAAGGGGCCAACCCATGAAGAATTGGACTAGGTGTCCGATTAATGAGGTAAACAATAGTAAGCACAACCATATGCCAGTAGGACTTAGGGGCATTCATCCCACAAAAGAAGACACCGGACAACAGACATAATATGACAGTTTTTACGTTTAGCAATCCCATTTTGTTCAGGGATGTAAGTACAAGTGAGTTGCTACAAAATTCTCTACTGATTAAGTTGGGAGTGAAATGCATCAGAGATGTACTCCCTCTCATTATTAGAATGAACATTGTGTACAACGGTGTGGAATTGGATTTTGACCATTTGGAGAAATTGAATAAAAAGTGCAAGCACATCAAACTTTTTTTTAAGCTAATAAACCCATGTACACCTAGAATGGTCATCTATGAAAGTTACATAATAGCGATGCCCAGAAAAATCCAAAAGAGGAGAAGGACCCCAAATTTTAGAGTGAATAAGGTCAAACATACAGGAGGCACGATGCATGTGAGGAATATAAGAAGTACGAGTATGTTTAGATAGTTTACAAACAATACAATGAAACTGATGATCCTTGCAAGCTTTATTAAGTGACGAAAAAAGTAAATATAAATAATTAGAGTTTGCATGTCCTAAATGAGCATGCCACAAGGCTAAAGTTTGAAAAGAAAACACATAGAAAGACAACTCAGGTAACACAGTTGCTTGCAGGCCAGAAGTGGTAGGATGAGAAGGTGGTGGGTTGTCGAAGTAGTATAGCCCGTTGCGCTCAAACCCTCTGCCAAAAATCTTCTTCAAAGTCAGGTCCTGTAATAAGCAATGAGTAGGTAAGAAAATAACAGCACAATGAAGGTTTTTAGCAAAGTGACTCACAGAGAGAAGATTATAAGCAAAATGGGGCACATGTAAGACAGAAGTAAATGTAACAGCAAACGACAAAGACACATCACCCTTATGTTGGACATATGAAATAGACCCATCAGCAAGACATACAGTCTGAGCAATAGTAGAGACATGAGAGGATAAACAAGAAAATTCACTGGTTATATGATTATTGGCCCCAGAATCCAATACCGAAGTAGGTGCAGTGTGAACATGAAAGGCTGTAGGAGTACCTGTAGCGAGTGTTACAGTGGAAGGAACATTTGAAGACATGGTAGTGAATGAACCAAGTTGCTCTTGAAGGCGACCGATCTGAGATTGAAGCTGATGAAGATCAATATGATGAGTTGGATGAGAAGTACTAGGGGTGTCTGCAATAATAGCAGTATGGGGAGAGCTTGAAGGGCGTGCCCTTGCAAAGCGTTGCTTCAACTCAGGATGAAATTTGAAGCACCGTGCTTGGACATGACCAACTACACCACAATGGTGACAAATAACCTTGCTACTAGAAGCACGAGAACTAAACTTGGCAACAAGAGCCATTTGATCTAAAACGGAAGATGATGTAAGAACAGAGGAAGAAAACAGAGCCACTGGTTGAATCAATTGAGGACGACACTCCTCACTATCAATAGTAGCAAAAGCCTCATATAAGGATGGCATATGAGATGCGTTCAAAATTTGAATACGAAGAGACTCAAATTCAGGTTTTAAACCCATCAGAAATTGATAAGTGTGTTGGTGAGCAAGACAAGTAAACACAATAAAGCCGGCAATAGCTGGAAAATCATTCAATGGCTCATATTGTGCTAGCTCCTCCTAGCGAGACTGAAGATACCCAAAAAATTTAGCAACGGTAAAGCCCAAAGCTTCCTGAGAGGCATGAGAAATATCCTGATAGAACTTGAAAATCCTAGCATCATTGTGGGCATGCGCATACATCTGGGTAAGAGCACTCCACAACCGAGGAACTATATCACAGTACATAAACATATTATAGATGCGTTCTTCCATAGAGTTGAACATCCAACCAAGTAAGGTGCAATTGTCAATATCCTATTGAACTCGCTTGGGATCATCAATGAGAGGTTATATCTTGGTTTTCAAAAGCCATCCAGATTTGCCTCTACCCTCAAGGTAAAGACGTACAGACTGACTCCAAGCCGCAAAGTTGCAACCAGTGAGCAACACACTAGTAATCCGATTAACCAGAACATGGAAGGCCAAGGAAACATCTGAACGAGGCATAATACTCTGAATTTGTGTAACAAAGTCAGACATACTGAAACACCACGAAGCCGGAGTAGTGGCATTACACAAAATAGATGCTACCGAACACACCAGGAGCCCAACACAACAGAAAATCAAACTAGAAAGTGCTTACCACATCAGCACATGAACCCTAGAAGGGTAAAGAGAGAAGAATAACGCCCAGGAGGGGAAGCAGCACTAGACCCAAGGTAAGAAGGGTCTAGTCGGCACCTAAGGAAGCCGCGACAGTGAGGAAAATGGATAGCCGAGGGGCTGAGAAGAAAGAGGAAAACTTTTGGCTGGGTGGAGGGAAGAAAAAGGGCTGTCGGGTGGCTAGGTAGGTGGTTTAGGGCTGTTGGCAATAGAAGATAAGGGTGGTGGGTGGCTAGTAGGGGTGTGCGCGGTGCGGGTCGGTGCGGTTTGAGAGAAAAATAGAAACCGTATGGCAGGTGGCGGATTGATAAAAGTGTCACTAGAAAAACACCATGAAGCCGGAGTAGTGGCGTTACACAAAAGAGATGCTACCGAACACACCAGTAGCCCAACACAACAGAAAATCAAACTAGAAAGTGCTTACCACATCAGCACATGAACCCTAGAAGGGTAAAGAGAGAAGAATAACGCCCAGGAGAGGAAGCAGCACTAGACCCAAGGCAAGGAGGGTCTAGTCGGCAGCTAAGGAAGCCGCGACAGTGAGGAAAAGGGATAGCCGAGGGGCTGAGAAGAAAGAGGAAAACGTTTGGCTGGGTGGAGGGAAGAAAAAGGGCTGTCGGGTGGCTAGGTAGGTGGTTTAGGGCTGCTGGCAATAGAAGATAAGGGTGGTGGGTGGCTAGGGTTTGGATGGGTAGCTAGGTTTGGCTTTGATACCAAGAATGGAGTTGTAAAATATTGGCTTACCCTAATTTGGGTGAGACTATGTCTATATATAATCAATACAAAATACATGAAAAAAGGAATTAAATAATTACATAATCAAACCCTAAAATTAAATTCCAAAATTAAATATACAATATTTCATATTCCAACAGCGAGTACCTTGCAGAGTACGAAGAATGGAAGTTGGCTTTCAAATAACATCAAATCACCCTGCAAGCTATTAACCATACAGTCCATTTCAAAAATAGAATCATTCTTGTCTCTCAAGAATTCCATCTCAAACTTCTGCATCAATTCAATGATAAAGCAACCTTCCAGTAGCATCATTTCAATCATTTTATTTACAATTGGGCTTATTGGTTCAACATAACATCTACATGCTTCTTGTTCTAGCAATCTAATAGTAGTGACATACTTATCTGCACTATTCTCATTTTTACTTTTAAGAAGTAATTGTAAATACCGTAACTTTTGCTCCTCCATCATCTGTAGGCTCTCTTTACCATGATGATAAGGGCCTATTGCAACAATCTCTGTTCATAGGCCTTCTCATTTACCTCGACAGTTGTTTATGTACTTTAAATATGTAACACTCTGATGGGGAGAGACAAGACAAGCAAGCTTTTCATCAATGCTAACAGAAATCTGCTCTAATATTGGGTTCCATTTTTTTGTAAGAAAGCAACACAGTACCCACCCTGTTCCAAACAAACCACAAAGAACTTGTTAAAAAAATTAATTTTAATGCTCCAAAATCAAATTAATATGAATATATGATGGCTGCTTAAGGTGGGTCAATGTCGCCCCCACCAAGTCTTGGTCGACTTTTATTTTCTATTTTCTTGATCGACAATTAGTTGTTTAGGATCTGATATCTTCGCAATTAAATTGAAAGGGAGCATTATTTTTCTTTTCTTTTTCCCTTAGACTGTATTTGGTTGGGGATTTGGAAAGAAAAAGAGAAAAGAGAGGTAAAATATGAATAAAACATACTTACATTTTTACCTAATTTCACATACATTTTTCCTTTTCTTTCCAAATCTATTTCCAAATCACTCAATCAACTACTGCATTATGGTGCCAATCAACTCATTTGAGAAATTTTTTTAAGTATCTATATGTCCAATGAAAGCCATCCCAATATGGTGAGATTCAACAAAAAGCATACTCTTTTCCTCTTACCAATATCAAGGGAAGTGCCTTCCTTTTACCCACCCACAATTTTTTTGAATGGGTCAAGTGTTGGAATTACTGTATAGTTCTTAAAAAACTTTGGTGAAGCTTCTCCCTCTTTACTTTCCAAGGAAAAAACTCAGATCTTTCCCACCCAGACTTCTTTTCAATGGGCTAAGTGTTTTTTAGTCTCCAGTTCCTGGAAACTTCAGTGAAGTTTCTCGCTATTTTCTTTCCCGAGAAAATGCACTCCTTTTCCCAACTAGAAATACCAATGGAAAATGGATCATCGATCATCTTCCCTCCATTCTTGGCCGTAAACCTATTGATTTTGGAGGACAGGAAAGGAAAGCATGGAGGTCAACACTAAGGTCAGTGAAGATTCTTCATAGGTTTTCAGATTTCTATTTTTTATTTATTTATTTATTTATTTTTGTGTGTGTGTGTGGATAAACTAAACTTCTACTCTTATAATTTGATTCAAATTTCAATTTGGTTTTTGTTGTTTTAATTTAAATAATTTAGTCTTTGCACTTTAAACCCTCTTTTAATTTCATTATTCTATCTAAATTTCCGTTAATATTTTCATGTGTGTACTACCTTAGGAAAGTGACAAGTGTTCTGAAATAAAAAACAAGTGTTCTAAAATAAAAATTTAACTTTTAGTTTAAATGGAAGAATCAAATTGTAAGTAGATTTAAAATGTAGAGACCAAATTGTTTCATTTAAAACAATAAAAACCAAACTAAAACTTGGATCAAATTACAATGGTTAAAAGTCTAATTTATTGTTTAATTGTTTCTGATTTCAAAACAAATAAATAAATAAGTTCATGGTTGCAAGATTGATGATGGTGAAGGAATTTATGAAGTACAAGAAGCTCAATCACCAATAGCTACTAGGTCGATGGCATCAATCTGCCCTTCATTTTTCAGAACAACTAGACAGAGGATATTTGATGAAATGATTAAGCCCCATGTAAGTTACAATCTTTTTCTTTTTCTATTATTCACATGGTTAATTATATTTAACATTCTTATACTTTTATTAAAAAAAAATTTGATCTTTTTTATTTTTATTTTTATAATTGTGATAATCAATTTCATTTAAGTCAAGTTGTAATGTTATTGTTCTGTCAGAAATTAAAATGCAACATTTTTCAAGAACAAAGTGTAGGGACGTTGAAGTGTAGGAGAATCTCTATTGTGAGTGAATGCTATAAAGAAAAGTTAACAGCATGCTTGGTAAAAGGGAAAATATCAAATAAGTTTTATTTTTTGAATGAAATTTTCACTAGTCTTATTAACACATGAATTAGCCATTACAACATAGTGTTAACAACATTCAAGGAAAATTTCATTAGAAAAATAGAACTTACTAATTTTTTTTATTCATAGAATTGTCGCTGGTCTCCTGTTCACTTTGTGGACTGGATGGTGTTATTGGGCCTGTGAGGCTCACCACGAGTCCCATTTCAAAGATCCGAATAGTTTAATATGTAGAACTTGTCGAGTACTTTATCCTTATGAAAATGACGTTGACTGGATATCGATAGCTACTTGATCGGATCATATTTTTGTCAACAATTTATTTTGAAAATTATATTTACTGTTGACAGAAATCTGATTCGATTAAGTAACTATCGATATTCGATCAACGTGATTTTTTACAAGGATAAAGTACTCGACGAGTTTTACACATTGAACGGTTCAAATTATCGAAACGGTATTCGTGATGAGCCCCACAACCTAACAGCACGTTTCAATCTGATGACGGACTAAGCAAAAATAAAGTTCCAAGAACAAAAAGTTTTTGGAGCTCCAAAACTTGAAAATTTTAAATCGTCTACAATATCCGAAGATTTATGGTTTGTTAAAAGAGATTATCACCACTTTTATTTATGTGTATCTGTAGCTTTTTATTTATTTGGGAATGTTGTTTAAGGTGGCATTGTGCTCAATCATATGCACACCCAGTGCAGTTTTTCAAAGAAAGAAGCACTCTTTATCATCAGCCATGATTGCGAACACAACAACCAGGGAAGAGAAGGCGAAGGAGCAATCGGAGGAGTCTAAAGAAAATCATGTACTTGAACTGTTGGGTTCCCAGCTAATCAATCATCAACCCAACAACTACCAAGGAAGAAACAAAAAATAATTTCAACTTTGAATGTACCAAAACAAACATTGAAATGTAAATATGGAATAGAAATTTGTGATCTATATTATATCTGAATTTGGGAGATGAGTTTTAGAGATAAAAAGTACGAAAAGTTATTTGGTTTGATTTTTTTTAAAAGATGTTTTGGAAAATTATTTTGAGAGAGAGTTTTGAAAAAAGTGATTGATTTGATGTGTATGAGAGAGAGATTTGTTTGAAAAACTTGTAAACCAAATAAGTTTTGGAAAATTTTTTTGGAAAAATTTGTTTGGTTTGATTACTTTTGAAAACTTATTTGTAGAGAATTTTTCTCAAAAATTTTTGAAAAACACAAACCAAACAAGGCCATTGTCTCTTCTTTAGTAATTAGTTTGACATATTATTGTTGTTATGGTTCATCGCCTCTTCTATCTTTTTTATGAAGCTAAAAAAAAAAAATGAGTAAATGATGGAAGAAAGAAATGAAGCAAAATTTTACTTTCCTTTGTCTCTCACCCCTCTTTCTCAATCTTCAATTCAAATTTATTTGCACAAACATGGCTGACCTTAATAAATTAAATTCAGATTCAACAATTCGAGTTGAAGTTTTTTTGGATAAATGTTTAAAATGAACTCTATTTAACATTTTTTTTTTTTTGACAAAATTATAACTAGTATCAAAATAAAGACAATCTCCAACATTTTCACCAATTTTTTTCATTTAATTTAAGTAAAATTTTTGATTTGATATGAACTATTCCAATATTTTCATTAAAATATTTTTTTAAAATTTCTTCTTTTATTCCAAAATTCCCTTTTCATCAAATTTGATGAAAAAAAGTCATCTCCAATACTTCATTTTTTAAAATTTTCATCAAGTCTAAATTTGATAAAAGATTTAATGAAAAAAATAATCCACCATTAATTTGATTAACAATTGATAAAAGGATTGGAAATAATTAACTAGTTTATCACCCGTGCTATGCACGAGATAATTATAAATATTTATATCTGTTTTAGATTTTTTTTAAATATATAAATTATGTTTTTTAAGATTTTTTATAAAAATAATTTAATAATTTTATCACTAACCATAATGTATAAGAGAAGTTGAAAATGGTACTGTAATAACTGTGCACGGGTTGAATCTATAATTATTTATATGAAGGGATTTTAAATGCTGATCAAGAAATTTTGAACAAATTAATAAATACAAGTATGTGAAAAGGCATGTGAATTGAAAAAAGTTAATAAATAATAATTAGGAGATTTTGACAAAATTAATAAATACTGATTTTTTTTTAAGGGTTAGAAACTTTTTTTTTTCCCTTAATATATATATATATATATATTTTTGATGAAAAAAAGTATAAAATAGAATTGTCGCTGGTCTCCTGTTCACTTTGTGGACTGGATGGTGTTATTGGGCCTGTGAGGCTCACCACGAGTCCCATTTCAAAGATCCGAATAGTTTAATATGTAGAACTTGTCGAGTACTTTATCCTTATGAAAATGACGTTGACTGGATATCGATAGCTACTTGATCGGATCATATTTTTGTCAACAATTTATTTTGAAAATTATATTTACTGTTGACAGAAATCTGATTCGATTAAGTAACTATCGATATTCGATCAACGTGATTTTTTACAAGGATAAAGTACTCGACGAGTTTTACACATTGAACGGTTCAAATTATCGAAACGGTATTCGTGATGAGCCCCACAACCTAACAGCACGTTTCAATCTGATGACGGACTAAGCAAAAATAAAGTTCCAAGAACAAAAAGTTTTTGGAGCTCCAAAACTTGAAAATTTCAAATTGTCTACAATATCCCAAGATTTGTGGTTTGTTAAAAGAGATTATCACCACTTTTATTTATGTGTATCTGTAGCTTTTTATTTATTTGGGAATGTTGTTTAAGGTGGCATTGTGCTCAATCATATGCACACCCAGTGCAGTTTTTCAAAGAAAGAAGCACTCTTTATCATCAGCCATGATTGCGAACACAACAACCAGGGAAGAGAAGGCGAAGGAGCAATCGGAGGAGTCTATAAAGAAAATCATGTACTTGAACTGTTGGGTTCCCAGCTAATCAATCATCAACCCAACAACTAACAAGGAAGAAACAAAAAATAATTTCAACTTTGAATGTACCAAAACAAACATTGAAATGTAAATATGGAATAGAAATTTGTGATCTATATTATATCTGAGAAGTATTGTCTCTTCTTTAGTAATTAGTTTGACATATTATTGTTGTTATGGTTCATCGCCTCTCCTATCTTTTTTATGAAGCTAAAAAAAAAATGAGTAAATGATGGAAGAAAGAAATGAAGCAAAATTTTACTTTCCTTTGTCTCTCACCCCTCTTTCTCAATCTTCAATTCAAATTTATTTGCACAAACATGGCTGACCTTAATAAATTAAATTCAGATTCAACAATTCGAGTTGAAGTTTTTTTGGATAAATGTTTAAAATGAACTCTATTTAACATTTTTTTTGACAAAATTATAACTAGTATCAAAATAAAGACAATCTCCAACATTTTCACCAATTTTTTTCATTTAATTTAAGTAAAATTTTTGATTTGATATGAACTATTCCAATATTTTCATTAAAATATTTTTTTAAAATTTCTTCTTTTATTCCAAAATCCCCTTTTCATCAAATTTGTTGAAAAAAAGTCATCTCCAATACTTCATTTTTTAAAATTTTCATCAAATCTAAATTTGATAAAAGATTTAATGAAAAAAATAATCAACCCTTAATTTGATTAACAATTGATAAAAGGATTGGAAATAATTAACTAGTTTATTACCCGTGCTATTCACGAGATAATTATAAATATTTATATTTTTTAAAATTTTTTTAAATATATAAATTATGTTTTTTAAGATTTTTTTATAAAAATAATTTAATAATTTTATCACTAACCATAATGTATAAGAGAAGTTGAAAATGGTACTGTAGTAACTATGCACGGGTTGAATCCATAATTATTTATATGAGGGGATTTTAAATACTGATCAAGAAATTTTGAACAAATCAATAAATACAAGTATGTGGAAAGACATGTGAATTGAAAAAAGTTAATAAATAATAATTAGGAGATTTTGACCAAATTAATAAATACTGATTTTTTTTAAGGGTTAGAAACCTTTTTTTTCCCCTTAATATATATATATATATATATATACTAGTGTATGCCTGTGCCTAAAGGCACGGTGTAAATAATGTTTTGTTTGAATAATCTTCATTTATTATTCTCTCTTAAGCTAGGAACATTGAGAATCAAGTATACCTAAAATTCTGTTTTCCCATGACATACAAAAAATGAATAGATAACATATATTTGAGCAAGATCCCCTTTATTATAGACACAACTTCAAAATAAGAGGAATAACAAAATGGTGTTCTCCCTTTAGAGCACACCATGCCAATATGAAAATGGTATTCTTAATCAAAATCTAAATAACAAACACCTCCAAATGTCTATCTCTCAAACTAAACCAAATCTATATAAGTTTACATAACGTCAACCTACCTCTAAATAATCTTTAACTTTATACCAACATCAATCATTTTCAAAGTTTGTCAACTATAAAATCAAAAATAGTATAAATTCTGCCCTCAAACTCCCCAGCTTTGCACCAATATAAATTTATTGTTGTGCAATATGCATGTGCTTACACTACTACACATAGTCAAAAGATGCTTTATGGGTAAAGAATCTTCTTTTAGCTATCAAAATAAATATTTAGAAAGTATATTAATATATTCACAAATTACTTTCACATATGCCCATGATAAAGTTTTAGATTTACACTTGAAAACGAAGTGCATAGTTTCATACACTTGAAAATGACAAATCAATATAAGTTTCTTCATCAGCAAAAGGATAGAAATCAATTGTCGCAAAAACAAATGTAAAACTAACGACGCCTAATCAATTGTCGCAAAAACAAATGTAAAACTAACGATGCCTAAGGTCTCCTACATTTCAAAACAATTACCAAACCATTTAATTAAAGTGTCTAGACGAAAGTCAGAATACTTAAAACAAAGCTTTAAAGATAGAAGGTTTGCAATATATAAAGCTTAACAAATTGCTTAAAATTTGAAAAATTCTAAATGACTTAATTAAACTAACCTAGAACGATGAAATTCTCAACAACCAATTAGAGAACTCTAAAAAAATAAAAAGACTTTTGCTAATGAGATTAATGAAAGCTTGAACATTATGATACTACAAATTCAAACCAATTAAGTTATTAATTTCAAAATCAATTAACGAAAAAATTGAAATCCTAATCATTAACTCAAAGAAGCCATGCAATTGAAATCCTAATCAAGAACATGAATTTGAAATTTTAGTAGATAAAAACTTGAACTCAGCTTTTATAGTTGTAAAACAAATTAATTCATGAATTCTATAATTTTGTTAAGAGCCTACTCGTTAAAATTGCTTAAATGGTTGAATTTACAAAATCATTACATTCATATAATACATATAATACCCCAATGTGACTAAACTAATCATGTAAATGAAAAAGTACTTTAAATAAGAGTAATTACACAAATGATTAATCTGAAAGTCATTAATTACATCAATAAAAAAAACTTTAAAATTGAAATTGTTGCATTAAAAAATAACTAAAGTAAAACGACTTTATAGTGGCCCAATAGCCGTTTTAGTAATGATATATGAAATAAATAAAATAAATAAATCAAATCAAACGGATTAAAGGAATGTTATTCAAAGAAAAAAAGAATAGAGTCTAATATGAGTTGCTAGCATATTACTCGTGCCTAAAGGCACTCTCATATAAATAGCTTAAATGGTTGAATCTTTTTTCTATAAAAAAATAAAAAAATAAAAGCTAAATCATATAAAATGGAAGTTTGAAGAGATTACCTTGATTGGAGAGTTCAAGGGTGCCACTGGTTTGTTTCCTTCTATCAATGAACAACGTCGGACTCTTTCAAAAGCTTCTTCATCTTATCCAATTCCTATAGATTCATGTCCAACCAATAGTGGTAGAGTATTTAATATGAATACGGAAGAAGATTAAAAATGCAAAATTACTTCAGGAACATAAAGTCTAAATAGGAGTATTTAAGAACATGACATATTTTCATAGTACATACCGTGGAAAAAAGTAGAAAATTTAAAATTTGCTAGGCAAAAGTGTCACCCTTCAAAAATATATAAAAACA